GTGAGGGAGGGCGCGCATGCGCAGAGCCCTCGGGAGGGCTCACTGCTGCCATCGCGTGTCCGAACATCAGTACTGCAACAGGGAGGGAGAGACGTGGCATGCGCAGAGCGTCAGGAGGGCTCGCTGCTGCCATCGTTTGTCCGATCATCGTTACTGCAACGGCCAGGGGAGGGTCTTAGATCATTGTATTTACATCACTGGTTACTAGAATTATCGGGGGGATGGCAGCGCCCCCCCCCCCCCCCCCCCCCCCCCCATGTTTTTTTTTTTTTTTGACTGTATATAAAAACAGTGATAGAAATAAATGGAAACCAAATTACCAAGCGTGGGAACTAGACCTTTTCAAACTTGAAGGGATTTCCTGTCTTCAACACTTAAACTTGCTTCCTATGGAATATGTTTGAAAAGGACCACACTCTGTCTTTTTGTAGCTGCAGGGGTACAAGGATGATCAGGGGCCTGGAACATCTGCCCTATGAGGAGAGGCTGAGGGAGCTGGGCCTGTTCAGCTGGAGAAGAGAAGGCTGAGAGGGGACCTGAGCAGTGTCTAGAAGTACCTCAAGGGAGGCAGTGAGGAGGATGGAGACATGTAGGGCAACAGTTCTCACCTGTGTCAAGTCCCATCACAGGATGGATGTGTGTAACACATAGGTGAGCTGACATCTGAAATCTGGAGAACATTAGAGTTGTTGTCAGAAGCAGAAAGAAAACAGCTGTTCCAGATTAATTCTGATAATAGTATCTGAGTTTCAGGATTCTAATCTCTTTTATCAGTTTCTTACCATTGACTGATCTAAGTGTTTCCTAAGAACTAGCCCTAGCTTGACCTGTAATCCTCAACTCTCTAAGCAGTTTTATATAGAAAACAAGCTTTTTTTAGCTCTTAGATATGAATTCCTGTAGCAGAAATGTATGGGGAAAAAAAAAAAAGAACTCCTACAGAATTGCTTTTACCTGCAGGAAGTGTTAGAATTTTCTGTGTGGAGCTAGATGTAAGGTAAGCAAAAAAGATACAAAGAAACAAAGTATTTATTGTTAAAAGCTTCGCTACGAACCTTCAGCATTGTACAACAAAGATACAGTGGCTACAGAGTGGAGGGATCTCCCTCTCACTTGCACTTGTACGTTTGTTCTCTCACACTCAAAAACTCAAAGTTCTGTTTTGCCTTTTTTTTTTTTTTAATGGAGTTCCTCTCTTAAATGAGATTGAAAAAGGGGTTTATTGTACAGGATCTGGCAGAACAGGCACATCCTATTAAAAAACAGAGCAAGTACAGAAAGGAGCATTCTCTCTTCAGGAGAAGAAAATAATCTTTCATTTCCGCCCTTATCTCTTTGTCCTACCTGTGAAGAATTTGCAACACAAAAAACAGGCAACGTGATGCCTCCAGCACCTGATGACCATCTTGGCAAAAGTAGGAGCCTTAGTATGTGGACAAGCATTGATCTGAACATCAGTATTTTCTCTCGGCTTCAGACGGACGAGCTCTAAGAAGGAGGTGCCAAGTGAGCTGCCAGCTGTAACATCCTCTGCCCCAGAGCCGCCAGAGCAGCCAACTCTCTGCCCGCAGCACAGGAAGATGTTTGGCGATGTCACCTGCACAGTCACCCGCAGAGCACCTGGCTCCGCCTGCGGGCCAAATTCCTCATCTCTCTGCCCGCCATCCAAGCAGGGCCTACGCACGCCTGCCCTCTGTATGTTCACATGTGTGCACACACACACACACATGCACACACACATGCTATACTGCATCCTGTGGCCTGTGCTTTTTCCAGCAGCACAGTGCATTATCCCATGCTACAGCTTAACGGCAATTCAGTGACTCTGCTCTCTTTTTTTTCCCCCACTGCTGTATTTTTCCCTCTAGACTGGCATTGTCCTTCCATAATAAAACATTTGTTTTCCTTTTAATTTCTAGAAAGCAGCTGGTCTGAATCCTGACTTATGGCCAGCAGCACTAAAAATTAAGAACTGCTTCACACCTGCCACGTCAACACATCAGCTCCAAGATGCATCTCCTTTCTACTGGTGCTCCAGGATTTTTGCCTTAACTCTCTCCTGGTTTTATGCTGTACTTTCCAACGATCTATATTATTATGCTTTTTATACATCGTTAACTACTTTTATGCACAGAATGCTTTGTTGCAGCTATAGTTTGGCAGGAACTGAAGACCTTAACAATTTTTCTGGCTTCTTTTACACACACACGTGCGCACACACACACACACACACAAATCCACAACCATCTTAACATGAATTTAGCATTCCAAATCTGCCACTATTACATGCTCATTCAGTAATTTTTGCATGTCTAAGCAGTTTTTGGTCCAATTCTCAATATTGCTGCACTGTTTTGCTTTACATATATATATATATATATACATATATATTTTTTTTTTGCAAACTGACAAGCTCCTAGTTGCATCCTGGAGAGCAGGACGAAATCTCTCTCTGCCTTTTCAGTAAAAGACCTGAACTGCTTCTGAACACAGGAAAAAAAAAATGAATCAAAGTATCAAAGCCAGTCTCACCAAAGGAAAGATACCTGGCAGCTATTTCTAAGACTGATCACTGGGAAATGGCCTTTTTATTTACAGTAGGAGTAGTGGGATAAAATTTAGATTTTGGCTTGGCCTATCTGGCACCATCTCCACTGGCTGAAGGGCACGTGCATGCGCACATGCACACCTATTGGCGCACACACACAAGCGTGCACTTATGCAATATGCAGTCTCACATACACATATGCAGGCACAAAGTGGGATAATAATTTAGATGTTGGCTTTGCATATTTGGCACCACCTATACTGGCTGACTGGCACCCCCACACACACACACATTGCAGTGACACTGGTGCTTGACAGAGGTTTGTCTGCCAGTGACGCTGTTATGCATCCAATGGGCAGCTACACTACACGAGTCTCTCGATTTAGTAAACAGACCCATCCAATCAATTTTACAGATAGGTTCTTAAAGCAGATTGGGCTCCATAGTCTTGCCAGCTGTGGCACGTGATTGAGATTTCTCCCTACAAGTGTTTGCTACTTGAATGGGAAAGTCCTTAAAAAATAAATTCTCCCAGCAGACATCCATCCCAGTCCCATGTCCATCTCACATCCCTACATATCTTACTCTGCATTTCTTATTCCTGGAGACTGAATTCATTCCCCGACTGTAGCTGCTCTGCTTGTCACAAACCGAAAGAGCTTTATACACTGGACAGCATGCACACAACCGACACAGCAGTGTAATAAATACGGAAGCACAGCAGCAGATGACCCCCACTGGTTTCCTTCGTGATGCTTGTTCATAGTCCAATTCATGGACTCTTACAGAAAAGAAGGTCTGAAGGACATCTACTGTCTGGCAATCTCACAGTCCCTCACTAGACTCAGTTTTAAGACTGAAAGATTTCATGTTTAAACATAAGAAAGGGTTTTAGCATTAAAAACAAAACAAAACAAAACAAAACCATTCCTAGTAAAAGGCCTTAATGCTCAGGGGCAAGAGTACAGCTGCACTTTTTTCTTACACCAATGGATGTGCATGATGGTACTACCATAAAGTGTAAAATTTTCAAGACACAGTGAACAGAGAGAAAGCTATGGCACTGCCAATATGGAAGTAGAGGCATTAAATAAAGAGGAAAACTTTGTGACTGGACAGAAGAACTCTTTACGTTCAACTATGAAACTGGCAAACACACTAGAGGAGAAAAGTACAACATTACAGCAAAGTATATTATTCAGAAGAGCTGCCTCCCTTCACCCCATGCAAACTTGATTCTTTTTCCATGAAAGTGATGTGTAACATGTAACATGTTTCCATGACATGAAACGTGTAGCATCAAAACCCTTTGCTAGGTTGCATTGCCAGAACACAAAGACAGAATACTTCGGCAGCTGCTTTTTGAACTAAAAATCACACAGGGTCATAATTACAAGCTAATCAATGAATTAAAAAACTTGGGGAGGTGAGTGCAGATGTCACTGCTTCCAAGTAAATACAGGGTAATTTCCATAGTCTGAATTTGCTGTACATTTACAAAGACTGTTTCCAAGGGGTGCTTCATCTATGCTATTGAATGCTGATAGTGCTTTATAACTCAACTGCATCCTACAAAATCAGTAAATATCAAGTATGGGGAACTAATTAATTCATAGGAAGAGGCAGTTCACCTACAATCAGAATGCGAGATCAATCTAGGGAGTCTCCTAATGCCCTGAAGGAAAGAGAACATCATTGTATGAAGTTATATGAAGTTGTACCACTTAGACTCTGCATCAACTTACAATTAGGGCAATTCTTTTCAGTGCTGATCCCTAATGGTAAGCACAGAGAGTAAAATTTAAGAAATCTCCTATTTTATTTATATACCTATTGTAAATATTTGCTGTGGTCAAGGCAGATATCAACAAAGCACCATTAAGTTACTTTCAGTTTTCAGCATGTCTCATTGTTGCTTCAACCTCAGCCCTGCTAACCCTGGGGAAATTGAGGATGCCTAAGAGGCTCTTACTCTGGGGACAAACCTCTTCCTCTCGATATGGCACATTGATCATACTCATGAACATCCAGACTGTCTGCTGATACGTATTTCAGTTCATCTTTCACTGCAGGGGCAGGGGAAAGATGGAGTGTTAGGCATTTGCAAAAGAAACGTCTTGACTACAATTCTGTCTTTCAGAGAGGCTCTTCATTTCAGGAATGAAAATCCTCCTATGTTGCTCTTTCGCAAGGCGAGATGGCCTCTTCCACTGCTCCATCTGGAATAGAAACTCTTGTTTGGGAATTTAAGCATTCCACAGCTATCAGAAGGCCTATCTTGTCTAACTCCAGTGAAGTTACTGTTTGACACTCTCAGGTAATAACTAAACATAGGATGAGAACAGCCTTTATTTTTCAACATCTGTAGTGTCCTGTAACACCCATCTCAACCTCCCTCCTGACCAGTACCACCCTGACTCTATGGCAAAGCCCGATATGGCCAAAAGCTGTGTAGTGTCTAAACTTTCCACTAAAAATTAATGATGATAAGTAATGAATGAACCTTTAATCTTCTTTGACATTGACACCTGCATGGAGCACAGAAATCTTCTGCTGTCTCTGGCCTGGAATGGTTTGAGACACACCCCCATGGGCCGGATTTTCAAGGGTCACACTAAAGCTGCTGTCCTGACTGCTGTGCTGACGGCACGGGCTTATTCAGTCAGGAAGTAGGTCCATGTGTAACAGTGAGCTAAGTAACACTCATTAAGTCCACTAGTTCTGTGGTCAAGATGCCAATGGGATCTCAAGAGCAGTGTTTATGTGTTACGCACTCCCAGAGACTGTTCCAGTTCCTGGCGGCGCTGCTGGATCTGAAAGAAAATGAGAAACTGTACAGTTCTGCAGATTCATTTGCTCAGTGGCAGAAAGGTTCATTTATAAGCCAGCAGTGTGGCTCATTCCTTTTTACCTTGCAATAGAAATATCTGCTCACAGCCTCTTGGGACCATGGCTCATGATAAAATTCAGCTCTGCGTTCTTCTTCTGGGTTTCCAACTACATCAGTCATCACCTGCAACAAAGATAAAAGCATCTTTTTCACTATAACTCTTCTAACACTGTAGAAAAACATTCAAATTTACCTAGAGTCAAAATATATCCACGCTACTTTAAACAACTGCCAAGAGAGCAAGATTTGAATAACCAATAAAAAGAAAAAAAAATCTACCAACTCTCTCCAGCACCAAAGGATCAAGGGGAAACACAAATTAACAGCATCTTCCTCAGGGTAGGGTGTTGCAACCATGTCTGATTCGGCAGGACAACACAACATAGGAGAGGATTTGGGGAACAGGGTGTCAGTCAGGGAGATCACAAAACAATAGAAAATATGCAGTCAGAGAAGCTCCAGAACATCTTAGTCTGTAACCTCTTCAACCTGAAAGCCGCTTTATTTAAACATTCTTTCAGATGGCTCTCCTCCTTTTGAATATAAATAATTATTAACTATCATAATTTCAACAGCAAAATTTTGAGAGACTAATGAGTAGCTCAAGCTAAATGTTTATATTTGAATGACACAATAATTAAATAATATTATGGCATCATGAATACAACGATTTTTGAGATATCTGAATTAAAGACAAAAAGTGTGAAACTTTGTGAGAACCAGATCTTCATTTTTGCTGACAAAAAACTGAACTTACCTACATTCCAGTCCTTAGGTATCTCAGCACTAAAATCAAAACCAGCTGATATTTCATCTGCCTGTTTCTTGAAAAGGATTAAATTGTGAACTGTCAGAAGTCCCAGACTGTGTTGCTGAGTTTCTCTTGCTGAGTTTCACAGAGCTTGAATTTTAAAGTCCTGCTAAACCAACACTGCCCTGTGCGCCAGTCATACTGTCTAACCATAGATTCACCTACCAACCCATCAAGCACTGCTGTTCCCCTGGAAGTGGAATACAGCCAGATCTGTCGTTCCTGAATGCTTTCTGCTCTGGGACTGTAGGGTTACATTCACTGTCTTTCCTCTATTCATTTTCCATCATGGATGTTTTAGCTATATGTTCCAAACATTTAACTCTAACATTCTGATTCCACCATCTACAGTTCTTCAAACCTTAGCTCACCTTAAGATCCCTACTTTGGGATCGGAGAAGGTCCTGAATGTATCCTTTGGGATCTTTGGAGAAACTCAGCATGAAATCACGTTGTATTTTTAACTGATTTATTGATTCAATTGTCTCATGAATCTGAAAGAAAAAAAAAAAAAAAAAAACACGTTACTTAATTCATCCCATGCTCCAGTGACCCTGATGTGAGTTCTATTAGCTTCTTCGAGTTTCATACAAAGGTGACAACTGGATACCACAGACTTTTGAAGGATCCTGAGACATCTTTCCTCTGAAGGAAGGAGTTAGCTCCAACGTTGCAGTCACATTTTTGTTTCATATATATTTCTGCAACAAAGTATACACAGGATTCTACTTTACTGCATTGTACTGCTGGATGGCATGCTAAAAACAACACTGAAGAGCTAACTCGTGTCACTGGATGATGTAAGGTTTTGCTGTGCACGCTCAGTCTTTTTTGCCAGCTCTGGGATTTTCATGGAAAGTTGCTGTGTAAATGTGTCTTTAAACAAGCTCCAGCGTAAGAAAGCAGTTTTTACTCTGGTTAGTCTACATCATAACTTTGGTTACCCTGTCATGATGCTTAAAATTTGTTCTTGTGATTGCCTGATAAGTCCATATCAAATAAATTTACATAATAGCAACAAACTTCTAGACTCTTTCTTGCAAGAAAGCCTATTAAAATCATCATGATTGATAAAAGAAGATGCCTGGGAACAACGAGCAATCAGAGGTATAGAAGGTTTATAGAAAATCAGTAATTCCTTCAGAAATATTATAAAAGAATTTTACATTAACCAGTGGAAGAGAATGAAGACTCCAAAGACGAGTCGAGGTGCTACAATCATCCTGGATAACAGAACCAAGTGTATCAGTGGAAGGACAGTCAACAAGCTATTGCAGCATATTTACACACACACAAAAGCAAACTTTTGATATTCTGTCCCTCTAAAGTTATAGTTTATGATTATAAAAACATCTTGTTTAATTTTCTGTATATGCGGCCAAGTATGGGGTGAAAAGTCATCTTCTCCTGATCTGGCTATGCCAACAAAGTCCTTAGTGTAGGTACAACTGGCTTACACTACAAATCTGGTATTTTAGCAGAAGACAGCTTCTGTCAACTTAAAATCATTGCTTATTTGGGAAAATGATGCAGGGATGCTGCAGAAAACTTTCTTTGTTGGCATGCACTGAATTTCCAATAGAGGACCCTGACAGCATAACCGCAAATGGTACAGACAGCAGTGGAGTAGTCAATGCCTGTGAGCCCAGAAATGACTTCAGTAACTTCATTAATCACAGCTTAAACTTTGCAGTAGCAAATGCTTCAACAAAGGTGATAAAGACATGGGGAAGAGGAGAATATCACTGCACTGGGTGCAGAATAAGCCTACGTGTGCTGCATGCAAGCCTATATAGCCTGGGAACCAACAGGGTGAGCAGTAATGCTGTTGAGAAGAACATTTCTTAAAGCCATAAAACAACAGATTCCACAAACACTACCGGAATCCTTAGCAATGTAGGTGTTCAAATCCCTTTTAAAATAGTACAAAGATTGCAGCTTTATATATATGTGTATTTGTGTTAGGAGTAAACGAACAAGAGCTTTGCCGACTCTGTGTCACAAAATCAACTCAGGCATATTATGTCACCCCTCTTTTCCTTGTCTCTGAGAAACCATATTTGTTTACCCACAGCTGTCTGACAGCCCCTCTGACAGACTCTCTAATACACTCTCTCTACAGGGCTTATCGCTGTGGTAAGACATATGATTAGTTTAAGCATACATGATCCTCATTGGTGACTACAGGAAACAATTCTGCCAAATTGTTCAAACTGCTTTTCGTGCTATTCAGTTTTTGCAGTTGCATCTACTGCAGTGAGCTGTTCTGTGGCAGTGCATGCACAACAGATATCCAAAATATGAGGTTCCCTTAGCTCTTCCTCATAGCAATTTAGCCAGATACCATGGCTGCTGAATAAAAAATTGCAATAAAACAATTCATGTGGTCCTTGAAAGCATTTAAAAGGGAAATAGCAAGCAGGAGTTCTGCATTAATTTACCTCTGCAAATGCCATGGGAGAGACTCATCTTCAAAAGTTACCTAGGACAAAACTCATTTTGAGATAACTATAACTAAATTTAGCCACCTAAATGTTTTGGCATGTAATTATGTTTCTAAGCTCCCATTACTGTCGAAAGAGATCATGACAATATAGTCATTGTGGAGATCACACTGCAGTTTATCTCAGCCTAAAGCAGATATTTACTATCTGTTCAGCTGTGTCACACACTATTCTACTTTAACTGTACTAATTACATTTCCATCTAGTATAATATTTATATACTTAAAATTTAGCAACAATCTTAAGTAGAAAATTACAGTTTTTGTCCATGCACTAACAGGAATTTGGAACATGGAACATGGTGGAAAAAGGAGAGGCAAAAATATTCTAGGACTAAATGAAATGTTCCTACAGTACCTACTTGCTCAGATTCTCCTAGTAGTTCAGCTTCTTTCTTCTTTAAGGAGGTCAACATCCTGGCTATCCTACTAGGAAGTTGTGCCAGAGTTCTTATCCCAGCTGTTTCCAGTCTCTTTGGTCTACTTGGCTCTCTCCTCATACCCAGAAGGCTGCTGCCTTTCAACTTGACCACATGTTCTCACATAATCACAGAATGGTTGAGGTTGGCAGGCCCCAACCACTCTGCTCTAGTCCATCCCGCCCTGCTCCAGCAGGAACACCTACAGCATGTGGTACCCGGTTGCACCCAGGTGGGTTTGGAGGATCTCCAGAGAAGGAGACTCCACTCTGGGCAGCCTGTTCCAGGGCTCTGTCACCCTCACAGTCAAAAAGTTTTTCCTCATGCTCAGATGGAACTTCCTGAAAGCTCTGTCTTTGCCTCTTCCTATTGGCTTAGTATAAATTGAAACCAAATTATTTCTATTTCCCAATTTACAAACATCATTAGTTAAACCTCATTTTCTGTATGTCAAGACTTCTTTTATCTCACCTGAATTACGGTATTAATTTTTCTTCCACGTGCTTGTGTTGCCGCACTTTCCTGTCATCTTACTGCATCTCCTCTTAGCACCATCCCACTTCTTGCTCCACTATCTTATGAAGCCCTCTTGAACCATTGTTTTAATTTCACACTTATCTCTCATGGCTACTGTTGAGGCAGGATTAACTTGATGTACAAGAAGCAGGTTAGATTTTTTTTCAAGAGTCAGTGTCATGAAACACTGAAGCACTTTCATATTGTCATTCCCTTGATATATTTTAGATTCTACCTGAGGATGATGCTACTTTCCTAGTTTAGAAGTGTCTAAAACCCTGTATCACTCTAATTGTGAAACACATTCTCTCACCTGCCAGGGAACTCCTTACTCCTTACTTGTGAGGAAACTCTGCTTCTGCCGCCTTCCACCTTTGCAATTGTATGAGGCTCTAGATCATGTCCCGAGGTGGCATTCCGCTCACCCCACTGCACTGAGTCACATGTGACTGACTGACCCCTTGAAGCATGTTCAACAGGAATATATGTATGTCACAATATTACTTCCTTTGACACCCACACATAAATCCACATTGAGTATGTGCATATGTATAAATATTCCATTTGATACTTCAACTTCTTTTCTCTTGGGTTAGTACCTTGTTGTCCAATGCTGTAATCTCCTGTTGATTAGCTGTTGAAAGAAGGAAACTACTCATCTGTCCCTTTAATGGGTCTTCAACTTCTACATCTATGTCATAACAAGCTGTCTTCTTCTGATCGTTGGGATCAACACTATAGAGAGGATAACAGATCATAAGAATGGCCATAATCAATTATAATAAATATCCATCCAGCTCAGTACACACTCTTTGATAATATCTATTGCAGATGCTGTGAGCAGAGTTTAAGAACAGGACTTCTTTGCATATAGCTATATCCTAGTATAATCTCTCATCTATCATCAGTCAGAATTCAGAGACTTCTGAGGCACAGTTTTTATCTGCACTCTCAGTGTTAATCACTACTAATGGACATAGTCTTTATTAAGTTGTCCAATATCTTCCTTAGACCAGTTATAATTCCAGTCTCCATGGCAATCCCCACTGATAAATAACCATTCTTGTATGTTCTCTGTTTTACTGTATCTTTTTTTTTTTTTGAGATCGGATAACCAGAGCTATATACCACCACGACAGATGAGGGCATGTCATGACATTGTATTTACTTCCCAGTTCCTCCTCTAATGATTTCTATACTTTTGCAGGTATGTAGCACTGTAAAATGACTCCCAGATCCATAAGAGGAACTGGTGAACTTAGAGACCACTACTTTATATGTAATGTTAAGATCATTTTTTCCTACATGCATGACTTTGCCTGTGAAAGAATGGATTTTTCCATTTTACTCTAAAATGTATCAGCTGTTCAACATTATCTTCTTTCCTCCTCCACTTCTAAAAAATTACTAATTGAAGCCAATTTAAGATTTGTAGGGGCTTCTGTGAAGAATTTTGGGGAAAGCTTTTTTTTAATATAAGTACACAATATACAGCAAATAATCTTTATCCACATGCTTGTTTAATTCTTCAAAGAATGTAGCAAGGCATGTCTTCCTGCCACATAAGTGATAACAAATCTTCCATGACTTGTGGGAGAGATTTCTTCCATAGGACATGTCTATTAATTCAATTCTCTGCTCCAGTATCCACTCCACCTCCAGTATCCAGCATCATTTGAGGTATCACGTTAGCTATTTAGCAACTCATTGTCACAGGAGGAGATTTTTAATAGGTAATGCATTATAGTTGCTAGTTAAGCAATTCTGTGTCTGAATTCTGCATGAAAAAAACACTTGCAATACCTCACTGTGTAAAATTTGATTCTATTTGATATTTCAGTCTGATAAAGTTTTTCAAACATTCTCCCGTTGTCTCCTCCCTCCCCGCTCTCCCCCCTCCAAAAATAAAAAAAACTATATATGGGACCTTCTCTAATTTCTAAAGTTAAGACTGATCAAAATAATGAATTTTGATTTCCTTACACGACTTGAAATATTTGATTATCTTCCAAGAATAGTTCATTAAAATCTTAGTAATTTGTCACTCTCGATAATAACCAGTACTTCTAATTCATTTAAACCAATTACTCTATTGTTTTTCACCTTTGATAAAGTAAATGTCAGTGTTTTTCTTTGGCTTGCCCTACACTGAATTTATATTTAATTTGGGGTTGGGGGTGTTAGATTTAACAGACTAAAGCAGGCTAAGGAAAACCTGGGGCTGTTGCTCAGTGGGGCAAGGGATCCAAGGGCAAAAGGTACAGAAAAGACCAAGGTTCTCAGCACAGTTTTGGCCTCTTTTTTCCCAGCTAAGGCCTGTCGTCAGGTTTCCCACATTTTGGAGCCCAGGGGAAGCAAAGATACTTCAATCTTCAAACCCTAATTGGATTAAAACTCTCATTTCTCTCCCCTTAGGAAAGAAACCTCACCAATCTTCTGATGCTATTCTAGCAGTAATAAGAAGGAAAAGAAGAAATTTTGCCTTCTCTTTTGGAAACAGTGCCACTTTAGTGAAAACAATTCAGTTTTATAGGCCAGAACAAGTGAGAGATGGAACCTATAACAAAGTGCAGGGCATTCACCTGTCAAGAGAAAATCTGTATTCTGGTCCTTACTACTACACCTACTACTGTACTTTTTACTGTGAGTGTTTTGCACAGGACAGCTCTGAGCTGTTTGCACAGCTTACCTGATAATGTGGTTTATCACAATAGGGTCTGGTGGCAGCAACAGGTTGGTGAGTCTCTGAGGAATTTCAGAAAACTTTAGCCGTGGACAGTCAAAGATCTGAAACACAATAAAGCATGTTACCCCTGTCCAAAACCTAACTTGCAATTAAACAAGAAAGAAAGAAATCAAAGGTTCAGAAGTAAAGTGATTTTGTAAGCCTTCCTTAATTCTGGCTCTATACACAGTACAGATACTTCTTCCCCTGTAAATTGCCACCACACTTATCTGGGCAGCTGACAACTGCTTCAGGTGATGACACTTCTAGGTGCCTCCCTGTACGTCAGGTGCTGCGGGGCACAGCTCATCGCAATAGATCATCAGCATCAACTGCATCAGAGATGAGGGGGAAGTGACCAGCTGCTCTCTCACTTGGGTCTGTGGCAGAGAACTTATTTTTTTTTTTCCCCTCCAGAGAAAACATAAAAGTATGTTTCCCCGCCCTGCCTCCAACCTCTGGGCCTGTTTCATAAAATATTTTATGTTAAAGAAAGAAAAAAAGAGAAAACAACAACAACAAAGCCTAGAATTTCAACAGTTTTACTTATTTTTAGCCAAAACCTAAGTAACATTTTGGACGCAATCCACTCCTCCACTTGTCACCACCTCATTGATTTCCCTATCTTTATCACATTCTAAAAGTTAAATTGGACTCAGAGAAAAAAAAAAAAAAAGATTATCTTTTGAAATGGATCAAAGAATGCTTTTTTTTTTTTTGTGAATAATTCTAATGACTTGCCATGAACCCAGAACAACTCTTTACATCTGAAGTTGTCTGAAATATCATTAACGTATTTATTCTTATTGGGAGTGTTAGAATCCTGAACCGGTGAATGGTCTCTTCTCTAAAGGTATTCCATTTAAAATAAAAAAAATAAACTTCCTGATATAACATTTGTCTTAAAATATACTGAAGGCATATTTTGCCATTATCATTTTATGTTGCATAGGGGCAATTTGTAAAAATGTTAAGGTCTCTGCGGAAGAAAATGAAAATATGACCTAGGGAAAATAATTTTAGTCAACTGAAAGGATGCTACTTGCAGTAGTGTATCAGTAAGCAGAATTGTGCTTTGCAGCTCTAGAGGTAAAGGATGCAGGCAGCATTGAAAAGTATGGACTATTCAGTGGTAGAACCAATGTAAAAATCAGATCTGTTCTGTTATGGAGCCAAGGTTCCTTAGACACAGTATCTTCTGAAATTCTTCATAATTTTAAAGAGTGAGGGAATTGGGTAGGAGAAATACTGGAAAGACAGGTCTAGCTTCTTAAATACATTTGGACCTTTTTTCTTGCTTTTTCTTGTAAGAGAGTGAATTTCAAATCTGCCCACAGACATAAACAGTGTTTCTAAATAGTAAAGGATCCTTCTTAGTCAACTCTAAAATCCACTTATTTTGGCCACTTTTTGGCCTTGTCTCCACCCAAGAATTCATCCAGTTAGTTTCTAAACATCAAGGAAGTATAGGTATCTTCTGAGCCTGCAACTCGCTACTACAAATGTGATTTCTGACAATTGATAGTAAAAACTGTTGCCTTGCTTTTCAAAACCTTTGCATACCAAACTCCAATATGCTCTTGCACAGGCACAATGCTCATATTAGACTCCTAACAGAGACTAGAACTGTAGGGAGAGGCAAGAGAGCAAGGACAGACACATAAGAGATGGAATTGGGGGGAAACAAAGACTGCATGGAATTTTCCTAACGTTTCTCATGTGCCTGTCTCTACCTACTCAGGTGAAATTAATCATCTGAACTTTCATCCAGTGCCTCTTAAAGCCAACATGGCTATAGTAATGTTGGTGTGCGATATAAGTCATTCAGAGGTAAGTTTTTACACTGTACTGCACTGTATCATCAGACAAAACTGCAAGCACATCAGCATAGGATACAGGATTTAAAAATGGTAAGAGTAGCAATGTGCTATCTTCTGCTTCTTGTAGGAATCTAAGTATTTCCAGCTATCGTTGTCATTTTTTTTCTGGGAGTTATGTATACAGACACAGAATATCTGTACACTGCAGAAATATCATGAAACTAGAAACAGCATCAGACTAGAACTCCAGTTCCCTTCCCTATCAGTCTTAGAGTATCTGTGTGAAAACAAAACAAAACATGGCAGAGATGTAAGGAGAAAGGCAACACAAATCAATCCTATTCATGCTTTAAATCTATACAAACATGACCTGCAGTACTGGCTCAGACAAAAGATTCATCTAAAACACAGTGCTTGAGGGAAATGTAAGAACGAGGGAAACATACTGGTCCTTCCCAAAAATTTCTTCCAACCTCCAAAGACTTGCAATTACCTTGTATTTATAATAGCACATTAATTTGTTTTCCATTAATGCATATTATCACTTTTTAAACCTGTATACATTTTTATCATCTGCGATGTCCTATCCTAAGCAGTTAAATTTTTAACTATGCTTTATTGTTTTTTAATTTGCAACCTGAAGCTAGGTTGCATTATTTGAAGCCAGTTGCAGATAATGACCTCTATTTTTTTTTAATTAAAGGAAGCAATAAACAATCACTCCCTGTTTACCTTTTCTGTTCTGCTCATGATTTTTGATTTTTTTTCATCTCCCTCCAATCACATATTCCTCAGGGTGACACAAATAAAACTAGGCTGCCTACAGATTGAGAAGGAAAATCAAATGAACTAAGCATCAGAGGCAACAGTCTAGTGATTCTGACTATATATATATGGTTTTAAGATGAATATTACACACTGTAGTTCTCAAGGAAAGCGGGGGGACCCATACAATCCGTAAGATCACTTGGTTCTATATTCCTAAAAATACTCAAAATCTCAGGATTATTTTATTCAAATATGCAAAATTCCAGCAATTTCAAGTGTTATTCAACTTTCAAATGTGGTGGTGAGTTGGGGAGGGAGGGTGAAATGAATAACTGAACACGAATGTTTTAAAAGAAAACCAGAACACACTGATTACCGCACGCACGTCCCATGCCCACTAAACGTGTCTCTTTCAAAATATTAGAAGAACTTATAATTTGAATGAGAGTAACTTATAATTTGAAATAGATTTAGGAAAATTTGACTTTCTCATTATATTTGCAAAGTTTTCTGCATAGATGTTGGGAAGAGAAGGGAAGAAAAATGGAAGGATATCTCTGTATGATTTGCCATTCAGAATAAGCAGATTATTTATATTATATGAAATAGTATATTTGAAAAAAGATGGAGTACTCAAGACAGTGGCAACATCCTTCTCCCTGGAAAAGCCATAACTGGTGTGGGAGCGTTGAACAACTAAATACGTTTTTGACAATGCTGGCACACAACAAGGGTGCTTGTTATATTAGTAATAGTGTCTCCTGAAAGCTATTCTGTATTGAAGAAACTGCAGATTATTAGGAAAAAATACAATTCAGTACATCTGCCATTCCAGAATTTGTGAAAAGATACTGCATTCTGTCTCTGAAGAGGTACTGTATTGAAAAAGAGGTTACCTGCTGGAAGTATTTGTCGCAGTTAATGTATTCCTTATCATGGGAATCTTGCAGCTTATTTGTTTTGATGTACTGCCAGAGAGCCTGGATGATGGCTGATCGGGTCTGTGTGTGTATCCCCAGCAAACGGGCTAATCGTGGATCCAACTTAAACTGTGGAGGCTGTGGCAGAAAGAGAAGGAGATGGAGAGAAACGCAGACATGCAAAGGTATAGAGCTTTGGTTTTAATTTTCTGGGGACTTTGCCCCTCAGAAGAAATATCCAATTCAATGGCAGAGTTTACAGAAATACAAGTTGCTGAGATGTGTTCCTTCACCATACTCCAGAAGAACTATGTCTTGGGATGAAGGAAAGCTGAACCTCTGTGGCTCATTCAATTCCAGGCATACTGCTATCAAAGGAATACCATGACTTGTTTGACATATTTCTAAGGAGTGTCAGTTCAATCTTTCTGTCCACATGACAAAAGTCATGGTACTTGGTACATGGAACAGTGAAGTTGAGCAGGCATCAATGGCAATCATTCTAATCAGCATTTGTACTCTGCTCAGTGACATAAAGGAAAACTTTTTCCTTTATGGGCCCACAATCAATCTTCTTGCCTTTAGTCCTAAGATTGGTGAAATTCATTAATGAAAACAAGTTTAGTAACCCTTTGTAAAATGAGCCTACCAATGTGCCAATCTAGTCAATAAATTACAGATGAAAACCTGTAGATAAAACTGTGAAAATCAAAAAAAAAAAAAAGGTGTTTCAAAGCCATAGTTACAGCTTGAGAATCAGCTGCTCTTAGATCATGCTTCATGCTGCTTCTTGCCATCTATCTTACATGACTGCTCCCGGCAATCCACTTTTACTGGAATTCAGTAAATTGCTGGAGCTAGCACTCACTTTCTCATAGTTTATTTTCATTTAGCTAGCACCTGCAACCCACTATGAGAAATCGGACATCTGTGTTCAAAGCACTGAACAGTGAGACAGTATTGGGTCCAAAGTGCCTATGCCTAATGAAAGGTAAAACACATGTATATCTGTATGGCAGGATTAACTCCAGGATTCCTGAATCCCAGACCCAATGATGAAGCCACTTTATAACACTGCTTCACAGAGAACACTACAGTCCAAGTCTTGATCATCAGGTTATGAATCTATGCACAAAGCTTTAACTAAACTGGAACAGTTTCTAGTAAAGACAAGATTTTGGCATGGATTAGTGAAGATATTAGCAGGTTTTAGCCTAAGGCATGGCTAACAGAAGGATACTACTGCTGCCTAGTAGAAGCGCCTCCACGTTGCACAGGTTTTAAATTGCTGGCTCCCTAAGCTCTGTTGAACCTTGAAAACTGAGTCCTCTCTGCAGCCATATAGTAAGAGCTTAGACACCCAGACCTGCCAGCTGCAAGACCTTGGGGGTACCCCTACCACTACTGCCTGCTGAGACTATCTACAAAGAAGGTCTTTGCATGTTTCTTCTCTAAGTGTGAAGCTGGCCTGCTGCTCCTTGTACCACTCGTTCAACAGCACCTACACCCCAATTACTCTATTGGTAGTTGATCATGGAGTCTCATTCAATGCAGGGAGCTGGGCCCTGCCTAACTCCTTGCATTACAGATGCCAGCACAGTGCATCTGCTAGAGAGATCAAACAACCCGTGTTTGGAGGGGAGGTTATTGAAAGATTAGTGAGAAGAAGATAGATCTGCGCCCTACCAGCTCCCAGAGGGCCTTGTCCCAGTTCAGCACTTCTGGAGATCACTGTGCTTGTAATTCAACTTTTATTCAAAGACAAGAATAAAATAAATTAATTTCCTTAATGTTTCCTCACTTTCGAGATTGCTAGAAGCAGTCACTTTGAGATTTTTAATCAGCATAATAAAGTTTGATTTTGCAATCAGGAATGATCTCCCGAAACAAAGTTTTAAACAGCATAGCAGGAATTAGGATGAAGCTCAATAAGTTACGGAAAAATGGCAAGATTGAACAGGGTTTCCTAGGGGTAATGAAGCTACTTTGGGTTTGAAAGGACAAAGGGAGACTGTATATGTGCTATATAGGCAAAGCATCAGTCACATGCCTCAGATAATAACAAGTTTCATGCACAGTCGGGAGATTTTTCCTATTTCCTCTCAACACACACATTGACTTTAGGTAGTAAGGAGGAAAGGAGGGTCTGAAATTGTGCCCTTTCCTCTTCTATCCCAAGGCAGAATGTCCTAATTTTGCTAACTGGACTTTGTTTGTTTGTTTGTTTGCTGTGACTGGGAATAGGGAACTGATTCATTAGGAGAAAGTTTTATTAGCTTTGAAATTGATCAGTTCTATGATTTGCATGCATGTTCAACCCACAAATACTACTAGTAGAATAAAAGCTTTTTCAAGCAAAAGAGAGGAAGCAGTAATGCCTAGCAAGGAGTAAGAGTAATGACAAGTCAATCCTTTGCGGGGCCAATGTGGCCTTATGCAAGGTTTGAGTGACAGCGTAGCCCAAAAGCTGTGCCACCCACCATGAAAAACAGCTCCCACAGCTCTACACCACTAGCCAAAGTGGCCCCCTTTTCAACTGTACTATGCAGCACCTCACACAGAACTTGTGTATCTTACTTAAATGTTCTCTAAGAAGTGCAAGATTTTGAGTTTTGATGTCATACTCACTGCAATTTAAGATGCAGTTCCTTAACCTGCATGTGCAACCTCAATCGTTAACCATTAGCAGCAAGGCTTTACAGTGCTCACAATAAAGCAATTATTCTTGCTAATATTCATTTCACAAAACAGTAAGAGATCATTTTCTATAAATAATCTTTTCAGTCTTTATCACATCTAAACTTTCAATTTATTTATTTAGGAATTTATTATTATTATTTTACTGAATTTATTTTTTTTACTAATAAAGAGTATATATGTCTTGCAAGTATGAAAATATTAATTATCATAGTGCCAAGAAAAAAATCTTTGTTGGACTATATCAAAAATCTACTTGTTTTCTTTATATTTTAAATAATCTGTCAGTTAACTTGGTATCATTCTAACCTCTTTGGAAAATGTGATATTTGGAGCCATGTTTTTTTCTGGTGTATGTGACAGGCTGATTTGCTCTATTACAGAATCCCAGAATAGTTGAGTTGGAAGGGACCTCTAGAGATCATCTAGCCCAACCCCCCTGCTCCAGCAGGGACACCTAGAGCACATGGCACAGGGTCAGATCTGGGTGGGCTTGGAAGATCTCCAGAGAAAGAGACTCCACACCCTCTCTGGGCAGCCTGTTCCAGGGCTCTGTCACCCTCACAGTAAAGAAGTTCTTCCTCACATGGAGATGGACCTAACTGTGTTTCAGCTTGTACCCATTACCCCTTGTTCTGTTGCTGGCCACCCCCAAGAAGAATTTTGCCCCATTCTATCTTCCTCTCAGGTATTTGTACCTGTTGATAAGACCCCCTTGCTTAGCCCTTCCTCATAAGATAGATGCTATACTCCCTTAATCATCTTCGTCACTCTATGCTGGACCCTCTCTAGAACTTCCACACATCTCTTGTACTGGGGAGTGAAGAAATGTATCCTAATTCTCCGTGCCAAGAGCAGGGTACCTACCTGGTAATCCAACATGAGGAGTAATGTGCATCGCACACTGACATCCCCAGGTCTCTTCACCTGGAAGCCATCAGTCTCCTGGGTTGTCGGAGTTCTGTGCCACTGCCAAAGGAAAACACAGTAAGATGGTTACTCCTGGTTTTGTTTTTCTGATATGGAAGTCACTGTATATCCATCAGTGCTTATCTGCACAGTACACCACACAAGTAAGACCAGTAACAAAATCTTCTGAAGATCTTGCAACTGAAAAGCAAACAGAAACTTTCCCTCCCCTTACAAATCTATTTTAGTGCACAATTGTTTGTTCTGATATCAGCAGACACTACTTCTCAAGAAAATGCACACACATTTTTCACACACATCACTTCATACATTCTGTTAGTAACTTGTACTATTTTCTACTACACGTTTTAATACTGTATAGACTCTGTTACTAAACATTCCTAAAAAGGCGAGAATTTTGCAATTTTTGAATACTCTGACTGTACCTTAAACAAGATAATAAATGCAAAATAATTTAAACAGGAGAGACAATGAGTACTTAACTGTTTATTTGTGATAATATTGGGTTTGTATGCAAATGGTGCATCTAACATCTTACCTCCACAAGATGGTTATCAGGTCCATAAAGGTCTTTGTCCAGTTCAATGACCAAACTTTTAAAAAAGGACGAAAACTTACGCTTCTGTTTGCTGAGCTGTATAAACAGATGAAATAAATGTTAAAGATTACACATATTAGCCCATGTTCTGTGCTTCCTTCTCAGACTTTCTCCTTCTCTGAAGTGTTAATTCCCCCAAACAATCACATCTGTGATCAATCTAATTGAGTTTACCCTTTGGCAGTTGCCAAAAGCAGAGAAAGATGCAAGAATCTTGGCAATTATGGAACAGTATGCACTTAAGGAAAATTTTCCCCGACTCTCATAATCTCATCAGAAAAGACTAACTTGTAGTTTAAACAAGGACACTGTATGCCTTTTAATTTAAGGGTGAGGATTTTCTTACTTTTCTTTTGTCAGAACTATAAGGTGGCAGTAAATTTTACAGATTAATCATACACTAAGTATTTTTTTATACATTTTGCATTTCCATTTAATTATCGGCATTTGCTATTTGCTACACAGATTATATTTTCTAAATTAAAAACTGTTATTTCTATGACCACGTAATCTGACTTTCTGCAGAATACAGGATTTCAGTGAATTTCTTCCTCTTTAATGCAAAGCTCTTTTGGAAATACATCCTCCTTCAATTTAAAATTTGCTAGTGACTCAGAAGCCACCCTAAATTTTGGCAAACTGTTCCAACAAGTAAGTACTTCCTTTGTTAAAGCGTATGTTTTAATTTCTAATTTGAATTTGACTATCTTCAACTTCTAGATGCTGCACTTTGTTACCCTTCCATTTTCTGGCACAACTATCATTTTGACACAAGCGCAGGTATCTCCAAACAGACAGACGTGTCCTGAAAGCCTTTCCTCTCAATACATATATATTTGCCATCTATCTATCTTATTACATGCTTATCTTCGGAAAAGTCTGTAAGTAACGACGTATTTATTTCCAGATTCCAGCTTTCCCAGAGAGACTTCTGAGCACTTCAGAATGATAAAACTTTTATTCCATTCTTGTTCTGACCTTCTCTACATCCTCTTGCACTCCCTTGGAAACAGAACTACCCTCTCATCTTTGTTACCCTGTTCCTCATAGGAAGCAAGCCTGTCACATGCCCAATGTATCACACCTTGCATAGCTGTAACCCTGTCCTATCTTTAAAGGAACTAACAGTCTCAGCACTATCCTCTCCAACCTGCTTCTGCCTAGAGGCCGCCTTAACCCTAACCCTGCTGCCTTCCCTAGCTGTCCCCCACCATTCCCATTACAGCCTTACCCTCATTCCTTCTGCTAGATCTAGTGTCTTCCCAAAAGCAGCAGCAAGCTAATGCTGCCATTCAGAGATGTCCTTTACTGAGTTAGTGCCCTCAGTAAAGCACCATGCAACCAGACAGTCTCTAGATCCTTGCCAGCCCCAGTGAAGCACAGGTAAATCATACATCATCCAGGAGCTTCCCCTCCACTCGCAGCTCCCACGATGCAATGCTGCCATCAGAGTCATCGGCATCAGATTTTGCAGGATTAAAAGTGTTAGAGATGTAAAGTCTCAGTTTTCGCTTTTGCTGTTAAATAGAAAAAAAAGAAAATTGTAAATCAGGTGCAAGCCCAGGTCCTTAAGCACCCACAGTAAAGGTGATATTTAGGTACTTCGGATGTTTAATAGAGAACCTGCAGGTTTAGTATAGTTGGACCAGGTCATACTGCAACTCAATATTTGTATATGTATAAGAAAATGCACTGAAGAGTGAAAACTCCCTTTCAAAACCTCTAGGGATACAAGCATTTTGCTGTAAGTGTAGAAAGACAGGGATTGCAGGGCATGAAGCTATATACCCTCTACTTCTAGACAACATAGCTCAGTACAAACAGCTCTGGAGGTTCCTGCAGTGCGTTGATGGTAACATTTTAACACCGGATGTGGAGGAGCTAACAAGGAGAGCTGGGCTACTGGACCTTGTACTAACAAACAGAGAGAGACTTGCTGAAGATGTGAAGGTGGGGGGGGTAGCCTTGGCTGCAGTGACCATGAGTTGGTGGAGTTCAGGATTCAACGAGGAGGAGGTAGGGCTGCAAGTAGCCTTGCAACCATGGACTTCAGGAGAACCAACTGTAGCCTCTTCAGAGACCTACTTGGAAGAATCCCATGGACTAGGGCGCTAGAAGGAAGCGAGGCTCAAGACAGCTAGTTAGTATTCAAGCAGCACTTCCTCCAAGCTCAAGATTGGTGCATCCCGATGAGTAAGAAATCCGGCGGGGGGGCAGGAGGCCTTCACGGATGAGCAAGGAGCTCCTGGCAAAACTCAAACAGAAGGCAGTATACAGAATGTGGAAAAAAGGGTAGGCCCCTTAGGAGGAATATAGGAATGTTGTCAGGAAATGCTGCGATGCGACAAGGAAAGCTAAGGTGCATTTGGAATTAAATCTGGCAAGGGATGTTAAAGATAACAATAAGAGCTTCTTCAAGTATATTAGTGGCAAAAGGAAGTTCAGGGAAAACGTGCATCCGTTATTGAAAGGGGTGGGTGCCCTGGTTACGAAAGACACAGAAAAAGCAGAATTACTAAATGCTGCCTTTGCTTCGGTGTTTACCAAGGGCAGGCCTCTGGAACCCCAGACCCCAGAGACAAGAGAAGAAGCCTGGAGAGAGGAAAACTTGCCCTGGATAGAGGAAGATTGGATTAGAGAATCCTTAGGTAAACTTGATACCCAAAAATCCATGGGCCCTGATGGGATGCACCCAAGAGCACTGCGTGAGCTGGCGGATGTTATTGCTAAGCCACTCTCCATCGTTTTCAAAAGGTCCTGGAGAACAGGGGAGGTGCCAGAGGACTAGAAGAAAGCCAAAGTCACGCCAGTCTTCAAAAAAGGCAAGAAGGAGGACCCAGGCAACTACAGACCAGTGAGCCTCACTTCCATTCCTGGAAAAGTAATGGAATGGCTCATCCTGGCTGTTGTCTCCAAACATGTGGAGGACAAGAAGGTGCTCAGGAGTAGTCAGCATAGACTCACCGAGTGGAAATCATGCCTAACTAACCTGATAGCCTTCTATTCGATACCTTTCTATTTCTGATAGCCTTCTTTTATTCTCGGTCCAGTCCTGTTTAATTTATTCATCAATGACCTGGATGAAGGCACAGAGTGCTCCCTCAGCAAGTTTGCTGATGATACCAAACTGGGAGGAGTAGCTGATACCCCAGAGGGCTGCGCTGCCATCCAGAGGGACCTGGACAGACTGGACAACTGGGCAGTGAAAAACCTCATGAAATTCAACAAGGCCAAGTGCAAGGTCCTGCACCTGGGGAGGAATAACCCCAGACACCAGAACAGGCTGGGGACCGACCTTCTGGAGAGCAGCTCTGCAGAGAAAGACCTGCGTGTCATGGTGGATGATAAGTTGACCATGAGGCAGCAGTGTGCCCTCGCTTTGGGCAGCCTCTTCCAGTGCTCCGTCACCCTCACAGTAAAAAGTTCCTCCTTACATGGAGATCAAATTTCCTATATTTCAACTAACACCCGTTACTCCTTGTCCTGTCACCAGCCACCAGAGAGAAGAGCCTGGCCCCATTCTCCCTACAATCACCCCTCAGGTACTTGAGCACGTTGATCAAGTATCCTCTCAGCCTTCTTTTCTCCAGACTAAACAGCTTGCTTAGTCTTTCCTCATAAGATAGATGCCCCAGTCCCTTAATTATCTTTGTGGCTCTATGCTGGACCCTCTCTAGAAGCTCAATGTTCTTCTTGTACTAGGGAGCCCAGAACTGCACACAATTCTCCAGGTGCAGTCGCACCAGAGATGAGTAGAGGGGGAGGATCCCCTCCCTCGACCTGCTGGCAATACTCCTCCTGGTGCAGCCAGGATCTCATTGGCCTTCTTGGCCACGTGGGCACATTGCTGACTCATGGTTAACTTGTTTTCAACCAAGACTCCCAAATAGCTCTCTGCAGAGCTGCTTTCCAGCAGGTCATCCCCTGGTCTGTACTGGTGCCTGGGATTATTCCTCTCCAGGTGCAGGACCCTGCCCTTCTTGTCAAACCTCAGGAGGTTCCTCTCTGCCATCCTGTCTCCTCTCTGCTTCTCTGATGTTGGCATCCTCTCTCTTAACCTCTCCATCCTGTCTAGGTCTCTCTGAATGGCAGCACAGCCCTCGGAGGTGTCAGCCACTCCTCCCAGTTTGGTATCACCTGTAAAGTTGCTGAGGATGCACTCTGTGCCCTCGTCCAAGTCATTGACGAACAAGTTGAACAGCACTGGGCCCAGCACTGACCCCTGCGCACACTTTGCGGGACACCACTGTGTCCCACAAGTTGACCATGAGGCAGCAGCATACCCTCGTGGCCAAGAAGGCCAATGGGATCCTGCAGTGCATCAAGAGCATCTCCAGCAGGTCGAGGCAGGTGATCTTCCCCCTCTCCTCAGCCCTGGTGAGGCCACATCTGGAGTAAATTGTCCAGTATCTTGTCCTGGGCTCCCTAGTACAAGAGAGACCTGGAACTACTGGAGAGAGTCCGGGACAGGGCTAGGAGGATGATCAGGGGCCTGGAGTATCTGTCCTATGAGTAAAGGCTGAGAGAGGAGCTTGGCCCGTTCATCCTGAAAAACAGAGAAGGCTGAGAGGGAACCTGATCGGTGTCTATAAATACCTTAGGAAGGGAGGGAGGGGGGAGGATGGGCCAGGCTCTTTTCAGTGGTGGCCAGCAATAGGACAAGAGAAAATGGCCACAAACTGAAGCACCCTAAGTTCCACAGGAACTTAAGGAAAAATTTCTTGATAGTGAGGGTGCCAGAGCACTGGAATAGGTTGCCAAAAGAGGTAGTGGAATCTCTTTCTCTGGAGGTCTTCAAAACGGTCTTGGACGCAATCCTGTGTAACATGCTCTACGTGACCCTGTGTATGCAGAGGGGTTGGAATAAATCATCTCTAAAGGTCCCTTCCAACCTTAATGATTTTGTGATTCTATGATTCTGTGATCTCTTCCTTATACGTGTGTTACCAGGCTCTCCATACAATGTTATCTGAAAACAGCTCATCTCAAGAAATTCACTTGGAGCAGTGACATTCTAAAAATATATTTAGGTTTTAATAAACCTCACCTTTTTAATGTTGTTTCCAATCATTCAGCTTCTATTTTGTATCAAAAATTCATTCTACTAACATGCACTTAATACTAATCAGTATCCCATCTCCTTAAAATCATAACATTCTTTCTGTAGGACAGCCAAATCTTCTTAAGCACTGACAAGGCCTCCCAATTTGGGGGTCATCAGCAAATTTCACCATCACATTTTAGAATTAGCCTCCTAAATTCCGACATCAAAGTCTTTAATGAAAATACTGCAAATTTAGTCCCAAGATTTAAAAAATATTTTTTTTGATGAAGTCAAATAATTACCTGCTCCACCTAAAACTCTGTTTTCCAACATTCTCTCCTTCAGTCAGTTACTTACCCAAGGACAGCTCTACCCCCAGGAGATAACGGTTCACCAGAACTTTATGAAGGGTCAACCTGGCAAAGTCTTCTTGAAATAGCCTCTACATTAAGCATCATCAGTGGTAGACACATCAGCACCAAGTCCAACATCACAACCACATAAGAGGAAGTACACTGCTCTGCTCCATAGATATGAAGGTGCAGAGAGGAATCCCCAACAGCTGTATTTGACCTGCCACTGCTCTCAACTATCTTAAAATTCCTTTAGTAATCCCCATCTCCTCTTTCTCTATAATATTTCATGAGGAATGAATAAAATGTTTTACTCACTACTACTGTGTTTAAAGTAGTTTAAATAAAAATATCTACAATGGATGTGTCTGTTCTTAGCTAACTAAATTCCACCCTCAAGTTCCACCTTGGCCCTTGCTGTTTGGATTTTCATTAACTCAGTCTCCTTTAATGACAGTCCCTGGTCTGGAGTTGAGCCATATGCTTTTTGGTTTGCTTCAGGCCACAGAACTTGGTTTATCTGTATATCCATGCCCACTGCAGTTCAAAGCTCAAACAGCCCTGCCTGCCTGATTGCCTCTTTAAAAAGTCTTTTCTGGTATCCATGGACAAGAATAGGTGATTCTTTTATAAAAACGTGTAGGATTTCTTACAAATTGTATACAGTTAATGCTGGTCTGCAGATGAGAAATTCTAAGAATCATTTGAAGGATGTAGTCTAAGATTGTAGGCTACAGGAAAAGGAGAGAACACACTAGTACCTAAGAGATAGAAAAAAAGACAAGGCATGGTCTGTGCTGGAAAACTTGGCAGCTGACAAGAGCTGCTGACAGTGCTAAAATGAGCTGGCAGGTGGTGAAAGCTGTCTGCTCCCCAAGCCCACCAACCTCCAAAAATCCAAGGTCTCTTCCTTGCTTTCTGAGCAATCCTGCAGCTGTCATCTGTTTCAACAACACAGCTGTTTATAGAAGACCAAAGCAATATCAATAGGCCCAGTGTATTTTATGCATTGTCCTTAATCAAAAAAACAGTTAAAGCAATCTCTCCTAAAATTTCTCAAGAATAATTAATCCTTCAGACAGAAAAAAAAGGGCTCAGCAATACCAGACCCTAAGCCTGTGGTTCCTGAAGACTCTCCTTGGCTACTGCAATATGATGACTGCAATTGAAACTGGTAATTCCAAGCAGACCTACATATTATCATACACCTCAGACAAGTTTAAATCTTTCCCAGAATTGCAATCCCAGTTTGTGAATCACTGCTGAAAGAATCATAGAATCATAGAATGCTTAAGGTTGGAAGGGACCTCTAGGGATCATCCAGTCCAACCCCTGCACACGCAGGGTCACCTAGAGCACGTGGCACAGGACTGCATCCAAGCGGGTTTGAAGATCTCCAGAGAAGGAGACTCCACAACCTCTCAGGGCAGCCTGTTCCAGTGCTCTGGCACCCTCACTGGGAAGAAATTTTTCCTTAAGTTCCTGTGGAACTTTTGGTGTTTCGGTTTCCAGCTGTTTCCTCTAGTTCTGTCGGTGGCCACCAGTGAAAAGAGGCCAGCCCCATCCTCCTCACTGCCTCCCTTGAGGTACTTCTGGACACTGCTCAGGTCCCCTCTCAGCCTTCTCTTCTCCAGGCTGAACAGGCCCAGCTCCCTCAGCCTCTCCTCATAGGACAGATGTTCCAGGCCCCTGATCATCCTTGTGGCCCTGCGCTGGACTCTCTCCAGCAGCTCCACATCCCTCTTGTCCTGTGGAGCCCAGAACTGGACACAATACTCCAGATGTGGCCTCACCAGGACTGAGTAGAGGGGCAAGATCACCTCCCTCACAAGCTGAAGAAAAGAAAAATTATTTCAACGTAACATGAGCTTTGGTAGGAGTTTTAAGATGGAAATGCAGAGCTAAATTTTACTGCTGTTACCAGTACTCCAACTAAAGTAAGATGAAAGTATATAATATCAGAACAAGCACATTTATCAAGGTGGAGCTCTATTGTGGTACCTTGTGAATTTCACAACTGCTGCATCTGATTTCTAGACATGAATATGACAAACATGTGTTGATCATTTTTAGAAACAGGTTTAAATGTTAAGTAGTTGAGTAATTGATATTTAAAATGTGTTTGTTGACGCCTAAATGCAAATAGCCAGAATTATCTGGTTATTTTTTTTGTAGAATGTTCTGTCTCATATTATTTTCCCCCTTAAAGACCCTAACCATCTCCATTGTACAGCTAACAGCTGGGAGCTCATACACTGCTCAATTCCATGGTTGAATAGTTTCTTAGAGAACATTCATCTTCCTGCAGATTTATGAATGCAAGTCTACATTTTCAGTTAGTTTTAAACATGGCCAAGTTCCTGTAAGTTCCTTGGTATTTTATACCAAGCTGCTATAAAATAATGGTGTTCTACCCAAATTCAGAAGCTAAGACAAATTATACCTGTTGAGAGGCCAATCTGGCAATGCTGGACTATTAACTTGTCATTGAAACCATTTATACTTCAGTTTTCTATCTGTCAAACAGGTATCATACAGAAATCTTTTTTTCTTCTGCTTCATCTATTTCAACTGGAAAAAACACTAGGAGCAAAAAACAAAACAAAACAAAAAACCCACCTGGTAGGACTCGCTATACATTGACAAACATAAAGGAATCCTGACCTTAGTAGGGCCGGTACCTACTGCTATGGTACAAACAAGAATGACAGCTTTACTTCACAGTATACATATTACTGCAAAACTTTTCATACTACAAGATTTGCTATATGAATGGGTATGACCATTCAATATAGTCACAAGGACTGTTAAGCAGAATGTAATAAAAATATTCTTAACAATGAGAGTGGCCAAACATTGGAAGAGGTTACCTAGAGAGTCTGTGTAACCTCCATCCTTAACAATTTTCAAAGCTCAGCAAGGCCTTGAACAACTGTGTTCTGAGCAGGAGGCTGACATAGATAACTTCCAACTCTTCCAACTTAAACGTTTCCATGTTTCAATGAAGTGGACTTGGAAAACTGAAGAAAAGGTCATTTCAACAGGATATAATGAACAGGGAAATGCGGTACACAATATAACAGATATCACAGAAAATATCACTCATCTTTTTATTACGTAAATTGTCCTTTTATAGACTGTGTAAATGTGTGTATTTTCACAGGCTCTTTAACAATTTTTCTCTACGTAATTCTTCCCATTGTATGTTTTATTATCTCAGAAGGTTAGCCTTTAACCTAATGCTAATAGGAAATTTAGCATATCTTCACTAAATCCCTCTACTTTCTTGTTTTTCTAATCATTCTAATACAACAATTCAAGAACAGTATTTACAAATCTAGAAGCTATTTTCCCTTTTATTAAAGGCTTTCTGAAGCAAGAGCTATTAATATCCACCAAAGTTTTCCACCACCCTTCCAAACATGCTGTTTCCCAGCTGCTTCGTTGTAGGAGTTTTGTCTGGCTGCTTCAAAATGTATGTCAACAGGACTTCCCTGGGTTCCCCAGAGAGTGTTTATGCTTTTGTTTGCTTGACTATTTCTTCCAATTCAATCTATGCTTTTTCATGACATACCTTCATTGGCCTCTTCAGTGCTTCCTGAATATCCACACGCTTCCGCATAATGGTCTGGTCTAGCTTGCGTTCAAAAGCCAACAGATCCATGTAGGCCTGGGACTCAGGAACCAGCTCCCGGATCTGAGAAGGAAGCAAGGAATATCCAAGCACTGGAAGCAAAGAATCAACCATGTTCTGAAGCAATAGTCCTGACACCTGCACACCTGCCCAGACCTTACACAGAAGAGCTACCCCTAAAGACTTGCATTCCCAACTAGTGGGGCAGGTCTCACTAACACAGTACAACCATATGACTGAAAAGCTGGAGCACAGAATTCAAACTAATGAACTCTGGGAGATGCCAGATGGATTCACAAACCCTGGATCACTGCTGATCTTTTCAATGGAGGTTTAGCAGCCTGGGAGCTACTGTTTATGGCAATGTGAAATATTTTACAGTTGTCCTATTTAATCCAAAAAAAGACTGTGTCTTTCTAGGCTAGGAATAAAGACTGAGTGTTCTTGTTTTTGTTTTTTTAAACAAGTGCTACCTACCATAAGTCAAAACTGCAGTTTAAGGCGGCAGCCTCTGTTAATACATCTTCTTGGCTAAGGTAAACTCCTTACCTTCATAAGTAAGTTTCAACACAACCAACTAAGAACCGTCAACTTACGATTTGTATTTTGGTTGATTATTGGTATTTTAAAATATTAGCTAATCTATCTTTATTAACAAATCCCTTTCTTATTTCTTCTGTGCCGAAGAAGCTTGCAGAAGAGGTGATAGGAGACACATTAGGAGAAAGAGAGAGACAGAAGTAAAGAAGACCTAAAAATCTGAGCTGAGTGAAGGGCAATAATCCCTTATGTAGAAATGTCAGTTTGTAACTGGGAATAAATCATGCAGGCAAACCATAAAAGGAATTATAAATAATTATAAACAATCTACCAGTCGTCTACTCATCTGCTATTTTTAAGATATTCGCTCTAGCTTTCAACTATATGACTCAAACACTTAACTGCTAGAAGATATCTCCTCTGTAACAATTCAAAGCTGGTTGGCACTGCAATTTTGCCTTAGAAGTCTACAGTTTGAATTCATAAGACACAAACACACAAACAACACGTGTGAGCAACTGGGCAAAGAGGAAGAGGCCAAGAGAAGATAGTTTCTCTGGTGTGAGTACAGTTTTAGCACTGTGTATACATTTTGTATGAATCTCTTTTACTTCACAGAAGCTCCAGCCTTCTCAAAAACTAGTCAGTTGTAGATCAAGATTCGTCAGTGTTTGTTGTAGAAAGAGCCACTAATGCTATTTGATTCTTGTTACTGACTCATGGCCACCTGACACCTGATCTTGCAGTACAGGAGGCTACTCACTACACTGACCACAGCTGACCACATCTGTTCATCTAGCCCATTTTTCCGTAGATAAATTGGCAGGGAGCTCAACGGCACCCTAGTAAAATCATCTTGCTTTGCGATTATATCCTGCCCATCTACCTGCTGTGTACTACAAAAACATAAGAACTACTGTAGAAGGTAATTTAACAATACATCTATCCTAGTACTGTACCTCTGCACTTGGCATGGTATCCCAGGATCTCAACAGGTAATGTGTGAAGAGGTAACTCCTTTTGTTTTGAATCTGTCATCAGTTTATATCTCCTACTTGTAGAGCTGGAGAGAGTCACTCCCTACGTACCTTCTCTGTACAGCTCATATCTACAGTTTTCTCTCATCTATTTCTTTTTTTTTCTTTTTCCTAAGGCTGAAAAAGAATAATCAGTCACTTCTGTATTTAGACTGATCAAGAATATCAAACTAATATCTAATATCAAATATTAATATCAAATTCGTATCTAGTTAAACCTTCTTCATTTGTTTTGAGATGCTAGAATACTTGTACTATTTGCAGTAGGATTGACACTAGAGAAAGAGAAGTCAGGAAGCCAAAGAAATGCTTTGATTTTGTCTCATGAAAATGTGCTGCTTTTGCTAAACTATTATTTTTAGCTACTTGCATTCTTCATCAAAGTCTTGGTTCTAGCAGAATAATAAAAGAACATTAACATTTTAGAGTAAAGCACAAAGACCAAGCATTGCCCTGGGAACCCCAAGATGTTGCCAGACAGTCGCAGAATAGAGAGCGCTAGGGAATTCTTCCACCGCGTAGTGAGTACAAGTCTTTGGACCCAACAGAGTACTACACTGCTCCTATCCTGTCCCACAGAACACAGAAGATTCTTCCGTTCGTTCAACAGAATGAATCAATCAGGTTGTACTGCTCTCACTTAAAAATTCTCAACCCAGAGCATCACTTCTGTCATTTACATCTGTGTCACATCACATTCAGTCAGCTCATGAGCTCCTAGGCACAAAAGGAAGTTGGCAGCTGGGATTCAACTGGTTCCAGGATTTCAGTTCTAGTAAGAACATAAAAATAGCAGTAATCTTGAATAAATATTTCTATTCTGAACTTAACAACAAGTAAGCTCTCTCCTATCACATGAATGACAGGGCTTTTCTTATTGCAATTATAAACAAATTGGATGTTAAATTGCATTTAAGAAAGCATAATTACTTTAAAATTAACTAACAAAGACAAAACTGCATGTAACTCCCTGAACTGCAAAGGGCTCCTGGTTAGGAGAGGAGAGTACCTGGGAGAAGTACTGCATATACTTCCCTATGTCTGGATTCTTTTCTAGGTTTGTGTTATGGCCATGTATCAAATCTCATACTGTTTCCCAATCTCCCCTTAAGTATAAGAGATGCTTAAGAAGTATCATGATGAAGGACTTTTTTTGTATGGTATGTCTTATCTCAAAAAGATAAGCTTATTTTTCAGTTTTCTTCATAGCTAAATGAACATCAGCTATCTTGGTGTTTATGTGATAAGGATCTGGTCAGCCTACATAATTCCTTCTTGCTGCATGGTTTGCCTTATCTTAAATATTCATAGCTCCATGTAAGTCTTATCTATTTTTCTAAAAAAGTTGTGAGCATATGCACACCAAGCACTGACCAAGTATTTCAAGACCTGACTTCTCCTTTGTGACCTTTAGCCATCTTCAATAACCTACAGAAAGCATCTAGCAGCAGCATCTGAACACCTGAGGTTCTGAAATATGTATGTAAAGCCTTACTTCAATGTTTAGCAAAGACCATGACAAGGATCGACTTGTATTTTAATAAATCTATTTTCTGTTTCAATTATCAAATTATATGGATAATTGGAACTGTCCATCTGGACTATGGGTTGAGTCTGGGGCTTCCCTGGGACCAGAAAGACAGTGACATGACAGAAGTGAGGCCAGTAGAGGACCACCAAGATGACTGGAGACTGGAGCACATCATGTATTAGGAGAGGCTGCAAGAGCTGGGTTTGTTCAGTCGTGAGAAGGGCAATATCTTTTGCTGCGAGCAGACACCTAATGGGACAGTGAAGAAAAGATGGAGGTAGTCTCTTCCTGGAGGGGTACAGTGATAGGATGAGAGGCAACAGAAACGAGCTGCAACTGGGGCAGTCAGCTCAGTGTATGCAAGGCTGTTGTTGCTGATGCTTTTGTTTGACAGTCAAAATTGGAACGGATTCCCAAAGGATGCGCTGGGATGTCCATCCTAGGAGACATCCAAAGCCCAACGGGACAACGTGCTGAGCATTCTAGTGTGTAATTTAAACCTGCTTTGAGCAGGAGTTGAAAGACATCCATAGTGTCCTTTCAATCTATGTTTTTCTATTATTGCATACATATAACAGACTAAATTACACAGGTTTTTTTAATAGTATACAACTGGGAATAGATATATTACAAGTAAAATGTACAAGAAATGTGTATAAATTATGTAACACAGGTGAATATTTGTATTTTCTCAAGAGGGGCTCTGAATTTAAGTAAATTTAAGGATACCTCTGAACCAAGCACTGTGGAGGCCATTAACACCAATGAACACAAAGGTAAAAAATTAGAAGAGAGTAGCCATACAATGCAATAGGGAACCCATCTATCAAGTTGGGCTATTCACTGGGCACACGGTTTTTTGAAAGAGCCAAATGTGGTTATGTATCTGTAAGATAAAATTATTTATGGAGAAGAGTTGTGAAGCCAATCTGATCATTTCTTCTTGGATTAGCAGATTTGTCATGAATAGTTTAGTCTAGAAATCTGAGGAAGGTTCTTGGAACAGCCTTCCAACAGTTTCTTGCCCACAGTATTTTTAAGTATATTAAGATGATAAATTACAAAAAAAAAAGAAGATGTATATGATGTTATTCATTACAGTAACAGCACTCTGGATTCCATGAATGAGAGATCTTTCCAGTCCTAAGTATTAGCTAGAAAGAAATACTACAGGGCACCAGAACAGAGAGCAATCTTTTGAAAGCAAAAGTTCTCATAAGACTGAGAAGTCCTGGTGGATGAAAAATACCCAAAGTGCATGAGTGTAATAAGAAGTGGGAAGTAATCATAAATAAAGGCTTGGTGGCCTTAAGACCCTCCAAAATCTATACAGGAATAATATGGACATTACCAGAGTGAATATTTTACTGAGGCTTCAGACATACTGTGGAAGATACAGGAAGGAGCCAACATAATTACTCAGAGATGACAGAAGATGACTTTCAATTACATTATCTGTAACTGAGTAAGGCACTTGATAAAGCACTGTGTGTGAAATTGTGGTAGATGAGATCAGCAAGTTTAGGACAAGAATTGTAAGAAACCAACTAAAGACACCAAGATGTGTGACTGAGCTGGCAGCAAAGCACTAACCTGCAAGTAGTACAGGAATCTGATCATATGGGCCAATCTCATTCCGTAATTTCAAAACTGTCTCAGTAACTACTCTCCAAACCAAAAACAGACCTCATTCAGCTAAAGCAATATGCTGCTAACAAAAACTTGGGATGTGTTATCAATTTAGAAAAATAATTCCAGAAAGCATGAGAAAGAGACATAAATATATTAAATGTATAAAATATGCAAAACTATATTTTAGTTTTATGTAACTATATAGTTATAGTTCTATATCATTTATATAACTATAAAACACTTCAGAAAATCACAGTAAAGTTTGCTGACGGGCTGCATGGTAGTAGATGAATTGCAATACCAAACAAATACTATAAAATGCA